TTTCTTGACTTTATCTAGTTTTGCTTTGATAGCTACGTGGTGTCTTCTAGTAAATTATTAAAAGCTGTAAGTACATTTGCTTGGCCTTGCGCACTCGTTGTTAGCACTCACCCTGTAACCCATTGATACAGTCCGCTACAAAAATTTTTTCACAATGATAAAACCAATATTCCAAAAAAGAAACAGTTACAGTATTTTTGAAGTAACCATTCTACTTGATTTTATTTCTCTCCCTTGCTCAGTAGTAGTACTACATTTGTTGTTCTAGCTATCCGTCATAAATAATGATATATTAAACGATGTCAACAATGCATAATGAATGGACGTGTGGTAAACGTTATTTATGTGACTTTGGGTAGGCCAGGGTATCTGTGGTGCTGTTTGGTGCTGTTAAATGGGATTCCACCATAAGGTCTCTAGCACGCAAACAATAGCGATGTATTGACTGGTAATGTATTTTATTCTAAGTTTATAGCTTTGATCTAGTGTGATGGAGGAGGTGATTCGAGTCATTATGATTCACTGTTTTAGTGTCTACATGCCAAACGTGTAAAGAGGATAAATACACACGTTTAAGGTTTGTAGGCACTATATCAGATTTGTCACAGATCTACCGATGAGTGTAAATTCAGCCGCATAATTTCAACGTTTCCTGTTAGATTTATTTATTTATTGCATATAATATTGTACATTTGTAATGGTAAGTAATAAATATATGTATCGTTTGCATATAGTACAATATATAATACGCTTCGTGAGCGCATGGTGATATCAGTGGAGAGGGTCAATATCTATATAGATATATTTCTGTTAGTTTTTTACATTTAACATTTTCGCTTTACAAAATTATAAACGGAATTCGTTTATATGGCGTATGAGCAATAATTTTAACAAAGTTTGTGCTCTTTAAGATTTTGAGTTTTTTAACACAAGCTGTGCGTACGTTAAGAAAGTATTATCTAATTCATTTTTTATTACTAAAGCGAGCTAGTTTACATAATGTTACTTTGGTTCCAAAACGTGTCATGTGTGTGTACAATGTCATTTAGATGTTTAATGTTGTCAATGCTGTATTTTGCTATTGTATTTTTATCAGTAGGGAACTGTTTTTGTTTATAATTTCTTAATATAGTTTATATTATATTGTTATACAAGCTGTTTGTACCCTCAAAAATAAAATAAATAAATAACTAAAAGTACAGTCAGATTGAGTAACTTCGTACACTTTTCTCAGGTTTTTACGGATATTGAAATAAAAGTCTAGTGCTCCTTTCTTATCGAAATTAAGAATAATATTAAGTAAATGACAAATTAAACAAAACTGATTCAAAGTTACCTTGACATTTAAGTATCTTTGAACTTTGAACTTTGAACTTTTAAGTACCTTCTTCATTGACAATTTAGCTGACTTGAATAGTAAGATTACACTCGCATTTTTATTATATTTTTAGTTGATATATATATATATATATATATTATATACATATATATATATCTCTACTAAATAAGTCATAGTAATTTATTTATTGAGAATTATTTTGAATGCAGTATTACTTACTTGAAAGTACTTAGATATCGTTGTATTGATGTATATCATTTATTATGCGAAATAATATAATGATAGTTTTTCGTTGCCCCGAAAGATCTAGAAGCAACAACGCAAGGCACCGGCAAACCTGTGTGGTATCGCACTTTGCAATTTTTGGATCAGTTTATTTTCAATTAGCTACTTTACTCGAGCCGAAAATTGATGTTTTTATTTTTGAACACTTGTTACTCAAGTCAATAAATAACGTAAATATCAATTAAAATAATATGGCCCACACAAATAAAATAAAATAATAAAGATAATAATACAACGCTTCCAAAATAAAATACAGAGGACAATTTTTTTTTAATTTTTCTTTATGACACTAAGTGATGGGACGAACAAGTCGTGCGCCTGATGGTAAACGACACGCCTGTCTATGTCAGTTGTAATGCTCTCAGAGCTTTAAGTCGCAAAGATATGGGGTGCACTGCCTATGCGCCCATCTCCCTGAGACACAAGTTGAAAAGTCCCATGTACCTGTAATTTGACCAGCACCCTTACCCTTCAAAACCGGAACACAGTAATGCTGACATTACAGTTTGGCGGCAGAAATAGGTAAGGTGGCGGTACTTCCCTGGACGAACTCGTTAACAAGGAGCTCCAGTGCTGCTAAAGTAAGTTGTTGTTGCTGTTGCTGTTGTCATCAACACAATATGTGAATATAATATTTACAAGATTATAGTTATAATTTATTATAGATATTTATTATTTGATAAGTTGTGGTTTATTGTAGAGCTACGAGCCAGAGTCGAAACGTCGCGACGGGACATGTTTTTCGCCTATAGCATATTCATCTCTATTTTCCCAATATTAAGGTACAAATTTGTGTTATACGAATATGGAGTCAAGCGTCGACGCGCGTCAGCGCTTGGTTGCAGTCGAGCTTGCAGTTGCGTTGTAGATGAAAAACAGGACGCGACGCGACGCTTCGACACTGCGCCAGTGTGAGTTGAGCCTTATTAGAATTGTTAAATCTGTGTTTATATATAAAGATTTCTACCAGGTGTAATCCAAATATATTTCCTCGTACTTGTGACTAATTTCTGAGCCGACAGTCATTAAATTTTATTTTATAGATAAGGTACATCAACAATAGCACATATTATTATACTCTTATATAACAGTGTAACTTTACATTGGTATTGTAGTTATATGTTTACCTATTACGGACGTACATAGCATTTAATGTAATAAAATAATAATAAGCAACAAAAAGAACAACAAAGAACTTATGAAATTACTGAGATAACTATTCGAGAATGTTTTTTTGAAAACATTCCTGGAAGAATAAAAAATGTCTATATCAATCTGAACGTCAAATTGGTTGTAAGTAGAGGATAATCTAGGTAGTGGTTTAAATATTTTGGTTATTTTATGACATGGGTAATTTAATAATAGGGGTTAAAGTATGAAATTGCCCATTTGTACTGAAAATCTAAATTGTTTATTTTTTAAATTTTTAACAAATTTATTTAATCAAAATAGTTGCCATTATTATCTATACATTGCTGCCATCTAATGGGAAGGTTATTAATGCCTTTGCGATAGAACTCCGACGATCTAGACTGCACAAACTGTGTGAAAGCATTTTGTACTGCCTCCTGGGAAGAAAACTTCTTGTCACGTAGATAATTGTCCAAATCACGAAAAAAATGGTAGTCCGTTGGAGCAAGGTCTGGTGAATACGGAGGATGACGAATGGTTTCTAACTGCAGTTCCTGAAGGGTCAAAATGGTTTCTCGTGCTGTGTGAGGTCTCGCGTTGTCGTGGAGCAATAATGGTGAAGATCGATTCATGAGTCGGGGCTGTTTTACTGCTAGTTTTGTCAACATGGTTCGGAGTTCGGCACAATAGACATCTGCCGTTATTGCTTGACCAGATCGGAGAAAACTATAGTGAATAACACCATGCTGAGACCACCAAACAGTTACCATTACCTTTTTATTGGTAAGTTTTGCTTTAGGACACTGTTGTGGCATTTGACCTGGGGTCAGCCATTGCATTTTTCTTTTCCGGTTATCATAAAGAATCCACTTTTCATCACATGTTACAATTCGATCCAATATTCCTTCATTTCTGTACCGGTTCAACAAGGCAACACAAGTTTCAACACGCGTTTCTTTCTGCAGATCAGTCAAATCATGAGGCACCCATTTTTCTTATTTTTTTATTTTATTGATTTGACGCAAGTGAGTCAATATTGTGGGTAAGGTAACGTTAAACCATGCCGCTATTTCCTGGGTAGTTTGACTAGGATCGGCTTCCACTATCTCTCTTAATTCATCGTTATTCACCTGTGTGGGCGGTCTTCCTCGTGACTCGTTCTTTAAGTCGAAATTTCCATCACGAAAGCGTTTAAACCAAAATCGCACGGTGCATTCATTAGTAGACCCCTCTCCAAACGCAGCATTGATATTGCGGGCTGTTTCTGCCGCGTTAGTTCCGCGTCGGAACTCGTATTCAAAAATCACTCGAATTTTCGCAGTATCCATCTTTCTTGTCTAAATTGAATAACAAAAACAATTGAAAGTCGATATTCAAATGTTTCAAATTTAAAAAAAAAAAAATCACAGAAACCATTTGAAAAAAGTTTCATTCGAAAACCTCAAACCATGAAGATTCTATGAAAATTCAAAGAACCTATTGCAATAAAACGGCAATTTCATACTTTAACCCCTAATAGTAATTAGTAAGGCATGTTAATATTTATTTGGTTCAGAATATTGCAACATTTTATTGTATATGCTATGTATATTTATACTATTTAGTATATACCATGTAAAAATAGGTCAGATAATATTCGGCGATCTCTAAGCGTTTTCATTTTGAAGTACCCTATGAACATATATATGTCTATGTGATATACCCGACGAGAAAAAAGCTAATTGTCTTGTAAACACACGCTGAATACTTTCACGACTTTGTGAGGGAGCACAGTAGATTGGGTTCCACACTACACTGGCGAATACCAAATGAGTCCAAACAAGTATAGTTCTTGTTTTAACTGATTTGAAATCTTTTGAGTCACGCCTCAGGAAACCCAGCATTTAATTTTGTGCCGCTCTTCTTGTAACGTTATCTATATGGGTATTAAATTTTAGGCCACTCTCAAGTGTAACTCCCAAATCCCTTACTTCATATACCTTCTTTAATATGACACTGCTAATATTGTTATGAATAGTTATAAAACGTTGACAATTCGATGTTCTCCGGATTTTAATCTGTAAAACAATGCAGTGAAACGTTAATTGAGCGCGCATATTTATGTACATATACATATATGTACGGGTGAACAAAATGTTTGTAAAAACTATTTCTTATCACAGCATGACCTTTGTTACTTAAGCAACCAATTATTTAGGTCGACGCGATTCTCTTAACAGCCGAAAGCAAATCAGTAATCAGTACAACAATATACTTGTGAGCAATAACATGTTTTTTTGTGTATCATTTCTGGTATTAGGATTTATTTGCATCTTTTACTTATTTTCCACATGGAATTTCAACTATTGGAAAAAGAAAAATGTCGCCGGCCCAAAGCCATTACCTCTTTTTGGTAATATCGTACAATCAGCATTCCGACAGAAATACATTGGAGAGGAGATCAAAGAAATCTACGCACAATTCCCGAATGAAAAAATAGTTGGATTTTACAGAATGACGACACCAACCCTGCTTGTTCGAGATCTTGATATTGTAAAGGCAATAATGATTAAGGACTTCGACATATTCATCGATCGTGGTGTGGAATTCAATAAAGACGGACTTGGAGTCAATATGTTCCACGCTAGTGGTGATTCTTGGAAACTCCTTCGAAGCTCATTCAGTCCTCTCTTCTCTACCGGAAAGATCAAAAACATGTCTTACCTAATATCTGAACATGCCGATAAACATGTTCATCGCATTGAGGAAGAGTACAGTGAAAGACAAGAAATTAAAATTTTAGAGTTCACACGCAATTACACAATTTCCACGGTTGTAGCTACTGCCTTTGGTATGGATATTGATATAAAAGACAACATTTTTAAAATGCTCGATGAAATAGACAAACTCATTTTCGAATCGAGTTTTACATTTGAACTGGATATGGTTTTTCCTGGCATTCTAAAAATACTAGGAACCGCATTGTTCCCTCAAAAAGTATCTGCATTTTTCCATGATTTAGTAGAGACAGTAGTAAAACAACGAAATGGGGAGCCCACTGGAAGGAACGATTTCATGGATATTATTTTGGCTATGAGAAAAGAAGGTGAAATTAGCAAAATCAAGGGAGACAATAAGATAACAAGTTTGACTATTACCAACAATTTGATCGCAGCCCAAGCATTTTTGTTTTTTATAGCAGGTTATGAAACAAGTGGTACTACTGCAGCTTTTTTACTATACGAATTAACTGTAAATCCTGACGTGCAAAATAAGGTTATAGCAGAAATCGATGAAATGTTGAAAAAAACGAACGGGAAAGTAACTTACGATTCTTTGATGGAAATGTCATACTTGGGAAGAGTATTTGATGAAACTCTTCGAATGCATCCAATTGCCGAGTTTCATGCCGTACAAAGGAATACGTTGAGGGAATATGCGATTCCTGGCACAGATGTTACTATACCCAAGGGAATGATGATAGTTGTGTCACCGTCTGGTATTCATTACGACGAAAAATATTATCCGAATGCAAAAGTGTTCGATCCTGAAAGATTTACAGCGGAAAACGCAAAGGATCGCCATTCCTGCGCTTACATGGCGTTTGGTGCTGGGCCAAGAAGCTGTATTGGTAAGTGTTTAAGAATATAAAATAAAATGTCCATATATTACTTCAGTGAATACCTAAATACGTGTGGATTTAGAAGGCGAAGCCCAACGCATTAAAATAAGGAGAACTTTAAAGATACAAAAGTTCTGGATAGATTAGTTAATGTCAATGACTAAAGATATAGATTACGGTTCCCAAGAAGATTGAAGAAGAAATGTAACATTCTAGAATTCGTAAAAAAAGTAAAAGATTTTTTTTTCACCTAGGGTTGAATGAAACGATTTTTGTTCAAATTGTACTTAGATACACTAATCTGGTATTTTGTTTATAAAAAATAATTTTAATCTCAATTTTTGTTATATATTTTCAGGCACGCGCTTTGCAAAAGTTCAAGTCATGATGTTTATCGTAAAACTGTTGTCTAAGTTTAGACTAGAGCCTTGTAAAGGTACACCATTGCCCAAAAATATGACGTACAATAAGCACCGATTAGTGCGATCTCCACCTGATGACCTGTATTTGAGACTTGTTAAATTTAACTAAGATTGTGAGAACATGGTTGTGAAATATTATGGAGAAATGTGAAATTATTCAAGTTTTTAATTTTTTGCAAAATGTTTGAAACAAACATTGTTCAAGCAGGAAGGATCTAAAACAGCTGGGCATATAAAGACTGACTTCAGATTTAATATTCTGTTTATATTGAAACAAACGAAGTATGCAAATAATCCGTTAAGATAACGTTAATAATTTAATGATGTGTACAATTTATCAATCAAAATAAAAGTTGCTTCAAAAATTTGTCAACTTATTCCGGAACAATGAATGACACCACAGAAATAAATCTAGACCGACCAGTGATATTGCACTTTTTAAAAGGATCAAGCTTGTCATTGTTTGACAAACATCCGCCCACTACGTGACCTTGAAAGTGCATAAATAGTGAAGTAACATAAATATTGAAATCTATCGGTATCGATATTTTTATACAGGTAATAAGTAAATTTTTTTTTATAATACCAAGTGACGGGGCAAACAACTCGTGCACCTGGTAACGGACACGCCTATACATAACAATTGCAGTGCCACTCAGAGCTTTACATCGCTAAGATCTTAGGGGCACTGCTACTGCGCATTGACAAGTCCCATGTGCTCGTAATTCTCTAGCACCCTTAACCTTCCAAACAGGAACGCAGTAATGCTCACATTACTGCTTGGCGGCAGAAATACGTAAGGTGGCAGTGCTTCCCTAGACAAACTCTTTCACAAGGAGCTCTACTGCTGCTAAAGATAATAAATATATTCTTTAAAATATATACACATAGAAATACTAAGCAACAGACTTTATTTTTGGTAAAATGAACTTGTCCACAATAAAACTAATTTGGATTGATAATGTTTTATTTCACTGCCCATTACGATTCATGACTACTAGAAACGTACAATAACAATAATATTTTTTTATTTATTTCAACTTAATAGTATATCTTCAAGATTTAGTATATAAATCCTTAATTAACCTTACCACATCATTATGCGCGCCATTCCGCGTTCCAGGGTTACGTTACGCATGAGAGTACATGTCAAATTTAATTTGCTACAGGCTGCTCGCTGCGTAGAGCATTGGGCCTAGAATGTATTTTGTCTAGTACGCAATGAAATTTGAACGTAGCTATATTGTCATTGTAATGAAAGTTTCTTAATTATTTTAGGTATTTCATGTTCACTTTAATTAAACAGGATTTAAGTTGAAATGATTTACCCGTGAAAGGAGATGCCTCCTTTTTACCGACTAACACTCACATTGTTATTTAGGCAATAAGAAACAACAATATGACTTTTTGCAAGGAATTTGCTTCAAGGGCACTGCCGCAACTGTCAGAGAACTGAGAAACTACATAACGCTTGACCCGCCCACATCGTTGATCTATCTAAATGATATGTTTATTTATTTCCGTGAATGACACAGTTTTGAACATAAATATCCTATTATTAGCGAATCGTGACATTAATTTAATTTGTTTTGTTAGAAAATTTAATAGAAATAAGAAACAAAAAAGGGTATAAACGAAATATTGACGGGCGCCATTACGAAAAATATTTTTGACGAGAAAGGTTTTTTGGTTTGTTTGAATTTATAATGAAGATATATTGAATTAATTTAAAACAGTCTTTGGAGTTTCATTGCTATGTCTATTGTGAAGATTTCATATTGTCTACATTATAATTTAAATTACTTTCCCTTCGTGTTCCATAGCCGTGGGATGCCCTGTGTACTTGAAGGTAAAATTACAGAAAAAAAAACACGAGCACTTAGTAGCGCCTCCTCGTAACAACTACATGTGGATGTTTCATTGAAGAGTAGTAATATCGTAATACATTCACATAGAAACAATATTCATCGACGTTTGTAGTGCAGACTTAACTTGTGGAAACATTCGAGTATCGATGCCGAACGAGGTGTTGTATTCATAGTCATAGTGAATTTCCTTTGCATCCCGGGGATAGTACAGTCAAGAGCATTAAGCTTGACACTTTGGATTGTTTTTATCGCAAACGACATACAGTTGAATTTAACTTTCAACTTTAATTCTTGACGTGTTTTTGTTCCTGGTACCTTTAGACATGAGCCATGGTAGAATAAGAATAAGTAGTGCAACTCTGTACCCAGTAACAGCGCGGCTTGTATGCGCGCGACCGTATACATAATAATGAAATGCGCGTTGAGACCAGGTTGAGGAGACCAGTGTTGTGTTGTTTAATATGAAGTTACCATAGTATGTTCTTATTCTTCTATGCATGAGCTTTAACCGACTTTTCTTTTAGATTTTTTGAAAATAGTTATTGTTAGCGTCAACATACAAACATGATTGTGATTAAAAATGTCCTGAATTTTTACATAATTAACTTTTTCACAACAAATTCCAGGTATGTCTTTCATGTTAACTGAAAAGCAGCGTTGCCAATGTGTGGGGAATTTCAAATCGTTTGAGCTCGATTGGGGTTTTTGTGGGGATTGGCGCTATGTGGGAACAATGTGGGAACTCTAGCATAGCGTCAATAGAGCCAGTTAAACCAAACCCAAATAGCGCCATTATCTCCACAAAGACCTAAATTGAGTTCAAGTGAGTTAAAATTCCCGACACATTGGCAACGCTGCTGAAAAGACGTCACAATAATTGCAGCCAAATTTAAATTTAATAATCGAATTTTTAGATTGTGACTCATAGAAAATTAAACTTTCCGAAAATTTTCCGGATCCAATTTGTGGTATATTTATATTTTTAAACAAACCAACGTTTTGGGCCCTTTACAGGTCCCATGGCCACGGTTGACTGAAACTTATTAATTTTAATTTGACGACCTTTGTAGCCCGATGGTTTGCACGGCGGATGCTGGATGAGATGGTTCTGGGATCGATTTCCTATTCTAAATAGGATCTGAGTGTATTGGGTAAAACTCTTGAAGTCTGGTACTCATAGTACAGGGATTCTCTAGTTTGAAACCAGGTAATTGATGTAAATTTCTGTTACATTTGACGTTACTGTGAGTGCTCACTGGATCGTGTATGCATGTTCGCATTGGCTGTTTCATTCATGTATGGTATGAAAATTATTAGTAATTATTAAATACAAATATGCAGCACAAAAAACGTGTTATTTTCTTATTCTTTAAAAAAAATGTTGCTTGATATTTAAAAAAATAAATAATTCCATTTATCAGTCTGAAAATGTCACAGAGGTACTGTACATTTTTGTTCATGATAATCCTGGCCTACTTATTTTCCTTGCACCCTTATCCTTTCGAATTATCCAAACTCCATTTACTGGACCTCGGGGAAGAAATAATTGCGTGTACCAACTATAAATACGAGTGTAAATGTTCCCTGATATTAGAGTGTACGTCGAGTGATTTGTATATATCCTTTTGGGACGAATGGAGCATCATTTCTTTTGGTTTGGAAGGAATCGGGCAGAATACAGGAGGCAACATAATTTCAGATGAAGGTAGAAAAGCGATAGTATTGTTTTAGGGCACTTCAGGGGGCTGTAATATTTCTTCTTGGCTACTCGACGTCTTCGCCTGAAACTCGATTGCTTTGAGTATATGATTATCAACATATAATAAAACATTGCGAGGAGGTTGGCCTTTGCAAAAAAGTGCGATTGGGGCTGAGCTCCGTCATTCGCTCAAGATGGTAAGTGAAATCCTTGAGATGAGGTGTTACTTCACTCTGAGGCAGTTCACTTTGTTTCAAAAAAGCTGTACCATGCACAAATCCGGTCATATGGTCTATTGCTGCCACCTATGGGATAGTTCTGCTAAATACTAACTGATCACCTGGGATTCAGTTCCAAAGCCAGCCAAGAGGTGACGCTGGCCTCTCGCTAGCCAAAACTTACCCGCCTCGGTCTCGCGGGCGCTGTTGCTGTCCTGTAGTTAGGTACCCGAGTTTGTAGCATTTAATTAGTGTTTATTTATAACTGTTATTCACGATACAATAATATTATGAAAATACCAAAAGACCCGGTTTTTCCTTAGCTGAAAACTGAGTTACAAAATGGAGTAACCGGTTTGCATCCCTTACGAGTGCACGCTTGAACGTTTTTTCGCAAAAAATTAATGGAATGTATGACAAGCTGAAAGTCTCATCAGAAACGTGTAAAAATTATGTCGAAGAGTTAGAAGCGTTCATAAGTATTTTTAACAATTCCCTGATTTGACATCTCTTGTTTGTGTTCGTTTTTTTCTGTATTTGTTAAAATTATTTACATGATCTGGAATATTCGCTACAATAAAATTCAAAAAGAGGGAATCTAAAAAGACTAAAGTTATTTTCATTTCTCTGCACTTTGTGTCGCTTCTATATTCAGATTTTGTAGGCTATTCTAATGTAGTTATTTCACATTTTTCTGTTCCTTAGTAACTATTAAGTAATTTGTTATTGGGATTCAACTCCACCAATGTACTATTGAAAGTATACACAGCCATACATCATGTTACGTAAATTGTCATTATTTAAACTCTTATCATTTCTATGTATGTGATGTTAGGCACAATTATCTACGTACAATTAAGGATATTAGCACAAAAGTGATGTAACCCACATTCTTTTACAATATTACTTTAAGGGTGTACGCTGCTTCGGTTTCATGTAAAAGTCCGGTTTATAATAATATAAATACAAAATGCTTTATTTCTCTCAGAAAGGTCTATAAGTAGTTACATTTCGTATATAATAAGTTCCCTAGCGAGAGCTACAGTCTGTACTAGGTTGGGGACCTGTGTTACAGATCACCAGGCTCACTCCCTCTACGTGTATAAAGAACAAAAAAAAAACGATTATATTACAAAAATAAGCCACACAACGACTCAAAGTAAGTCGTCTGCAGATTCACGCGCGCAATTACGACTGAATTTAGGTTACACCGTGAGACGTGCTGGTGTGGGTGGAGGAAGGGGTGAGGGAAGTGGTATTTACTTTTAAGCGTTTGTACACCCTGTACAAACGCTTAAAAGAAACTGAATGAAATACATTCGTATGGCGCTCCAACTGAATTTCAGTCGAACGCAAACTACACAACTCCCAAATTACGCTCGTGTGGCCTCACCCTAAATGATATTATTATAATATACTTATTTTATTTTTAGCACGATTTTTACAAACCTCTCTTGCTTCACTTACATCCATCAATCTTTTCATACATGCAATCTTATTCTTCTCACTACGCACTCCAGCCTTTTTAAGAACACTCCCAATTTGATCAGAGAATGTTCTTTGTGGCGGTCCTCTTTCAATGATTCCTTCTACGTTAGCTCTATATATTTCTTTCGTTAATCTGCATACATTCACTCATCCGCTCCATGGGCCCAAACCACCTCAGCATACGCTTTTCTATTTTTGTCTCTCCATTCTCTTTCAAACCACATTTTTCACGAATCATAGCATTCTTCATTCTGTCACACAGCCGCACACCACATATTCTTCTGAGGGATCTCATTTCAACTGCATTCACTCTACTCTCATGGTTCTTCTGCCACACCCATTCCCTTACATTAGCGT